TACAAGAGCCCTGATGAAGGTGTGGTGAACCCCGTGTATCCGCGGGCTGTTTAAATCTTGCGTAGTACTCCAACACGTCATATGACGTGATGCGCAGTTGACTGGAACAATTTCCAACATGTCATATGACGTGATGCGCACTTTAAGGGTTAAATATGCAAATCATATATATATGATTTGAGCCGTTCTGTGACACTTACTCAAATCATATATGTATGATTTGCACTGTTTAAGGGTTAATACCCCCTAATCCTTAACAATATCTAATCTCTAGAGAATACCCTAAATTCTCTCCCAAATTATCAGCCAATATTAGTCTCAATCTTTGATCTGTCTCAAAGTTGATTTTTTTTTTTACAGTTAATTGAAGTTTTAAGTTATCGACAATGAATATAGTAGTCCTAATTAATGAATTTTCTTGAATGTTTTAATTACCATTGCTTTGCATTTGTACTCAAATATGTGAAAGTTGTAGGTCAATATGTGTTGAAATGAAGTAAGGAAAAAATACCCCTCCCCCCAAAAAAAAAGTGATAGGTTAGGAATAACAAACATATATATTGAAGTAACTTTATTGACCACATATAAGTCATAGGGCTCTCGTCTGGTTCTCATTTATCAGTACAACCTAAAGAGACAAAGAAAATAGTTTGAAATCTGAAAATAAATCGGCCAAAAAAAAGTCACAAATTCTGCCACCTGTGGCTGAAGAAAATGTTGACCAATTTCGTTCCAACTTCACATGCCTAGTGCCCGACATGCATTCTCCAAGATGTAGAAGTTACATGAAAATCCAATTAAAAAAAAAATAAAATAAAAAAAAATAGAATTGGTTGTCTGATTTTGTACAAAGGGACATAAGAAATACTGCCATTGGGGCAATGTATATATATGATATATATTTAAATAGAGCATAATAACATACTAACTCATTATTATGTGTGAAATTTGGCCCTCCAGGTGTCACCAGCTGCATATCCACTATGTAGACCTTCCTTATTACTACTACTACTACTACTTATCTTCTTTGTGCCTCGGACAAGTGCTTGCATCTCTTTATCCCTGATTGCCAGTATATGGGAGGTGTTATCACTATTATCAATACCGATTGCCTCCAGTCTCGCACACATTTATTTTAAAAAAATTGTAAAAAAATAATTTGACATTGGGATGAAAATTTCACGACACTGATGGCAAATAAAGGGAGATTTGTTTAAATTTTTTCACTATTTTTCATATTTTGAAAAATACTGTCACCGGGCCCCTTAACTACTGTATAAATTCCACAAATTGAATGATATTACTGCTAAAAACTAGATATAAAACCATTCACAGACACTGAAATAATTATGTAAATATGTATATGGGGCCAGCCTCTGCCACACTCAGCTATCGGCCGCTGGACTGACCTTGGATTCTTGGACTGTGTACCTGTATATAAACTCTCAACATATGATCTTTGTGGTTCAAAATGGGGCACAAAAATATAACATGTATTAATGTAATAACAACAAAAACACTGATCTTAGAATGTAATACAGATGACCACTTGGTTTGCATACCCCTTGGGGATGAGACCCATCAGTTACCGTGTAATTTCGTAAACGAGAAATGTAGGAACAAAAATAAATGAGAAATGTTTGGAAAAAATCTAGAGAAAAATAGCTACAGGTTCATAGCATAAATGTGATAGTATTTTGTTTGTATTCCCCAGTAAGAGAAGTCATGATCAACTTATGTTGTTGTTCATTGTTGATGGATCATTGTTATTTTCATGTAAGAGGTGGTGGTGGATGTTGATGGTGTTGGGTTGACTGAAGTGGAGATGGAGATTAATGGTGATAAGATAACCTCAGATGTTGACGCATTTGGGTCAATATGTGATGAGTCAGGTGCAGGTGAGGCAATGCCAGCTTTCTTGAAAGCCTTTGCAAAAGACTCTTTAATTGACATTTGTTTCATTCCCTTTGATCTTGTTTTCAAAAACTTCATATACAAATTGTACTGGCTCATCATGTCCTTAGTTTTAAACTCACTGTTACTCATTTCCATAAATGCCAGAATGCCTTCAAAATATTTCTGAATTTGTTCCATATTACATTTATCCTTTAATGCTTCTTCATCTTTTTCCTGTTTTCCTTTCTTGCCATCTTCTTCATTGCACTCTTATGGCTGTTTTGCTGTACATACTAATTCTATGATTTCATCATCAGTCATGTTTTGATTGTTTGGGGCCTCTTCGTCAAAATCTATGCACTTATCTATGTGATTTTTTATTGTTTCAATCACCAGTTCTACTCTCAGTTCTTGGGATTTAATCCCCTTGACATTGGCTAGGAGTTCCTCTCTTAAATTTTTCCTCTCTCTCAATTTTTTTGCGACAAATCCTTCAAAAACTGCCTTGTCATCGTCCTCAGGAAACATACTTGACGTGGGCCAAAGTTTTTCCAACTATTTGGTAGCGTTGTTTGCTTTACCTCATCCCATGCATTAGTAGTAGTCCAGATAGCTGACTTTATTGTGAAGACTTTATAAAAGTCCTTAATTGTTTCTAGCTGATAATTAGATGTCTGGCAAACATTCTCTTGTAGTGGTGTTTGAGGTTCTTAATTATCCCTTGATTAATGGGTTGAATCAGTGAAGTTGTATCGGGTCGTTATCTTAAGGTTATCTTGAGATGATTTCAGGGCTTAGCGTCCCCGCGGCCCGGTCCTCGACCAGGCCTCCTTTTTGTTACACCCCCCCCCCCTAGGAAGCAGCCTGTTGCGGCTGTCTAACTCCCAGGTACCTATTTACTGCTAGGTAACAGGGGCATCAGGGTAAAAGAAACATTTTTGCCCATTTGTCTCTGCCTCCACCGGGGATCAAACCCGGAACCTCAGGACTACGAATCCGAACTGCTGTCCACTCAGCTGTCAGGCGTCCTGACTCGTAAGAACATTCCAATAATAATGCCATTTACTTGCTCATGACCTTGTGGATGCGTTGAACTATTATCTAGCAACAGCACAACTTTGCTGTTTTGCGGGAGGCCAACACTTTTCAGGTGCTCCTTCACCTCGGGTACAAAGTTCTCATTAAACCACTCTGCAAATATTACTCGAGACGTCCACGCACTTGACTGATGCTTATAAATTACAGGGAGGCACCTAGCCGACTTAAAGCCCTGGGGTTTTTGCTAATTCCAGTCACAAGTAATTTCAATTTGTGCATGCCAGCTGCATTTGCACAGCTCAACAAAGAAAGCCTCTGTTCTGCTTATAACCACCTGAAGGTTCGTCTTCATCACTATGAGCCGTCATGTCTGTGGGTAACATATGCCAATACAAGCCTGTCTCATCAGCATTATAAATTTGCTCTGGAGATAAATCTACTTTCCATTAACATAAACCACTGTGTAATAGTACAAGCAAGGAACACCACTCGCAAGACTCCGAGTCAAAGGCGTCATCGATCCAACAGGCAGCATGGAGAGGGAAAGACGGTGAAGAGCCAGTGAAGAGCAGAGGTGCCATAGGCACAATCAGAGAACACTGTATAAACATCAGAGGTCCGTGGTTGTTCAACGTCCTACTAGCGACTATAAGAAACATTGCCGGAACAACGGTAGACATCTACAAGAGAAAACTAAACTGTTTTCTAAAAAAAAGTGCCGGACCAATCGGGCTGTGGTGGGTATGTGAGCCTGCGGGGCCGCTCCAAGCAACAACCTGGTGGACCAAACTCTCATAAGTCAAGCCTGGCCTTGGGCCGGGCTTGGGGAGTAGAACAACTCCCAGAACCCCATCAAGCAGGAAAATCAAGCAAGTGAATGTCACTCCGAGACAAGGGGACAGAGCAACTTTCAAATTCGTACGAAGTGAGACGAGACACGGAGGTCTCCTCCATCAGACCAGCGAGCCCCAACGGAGGTTCCCAGGGCCCTTAGGCTGACTGCTAAGGGGACGCCCAGGGGAGGTACTGCTAACCGGTTATCCTAGAGCTACCAAGCATACAAACTAAAAGCTGAACCCCTGTAACGTATGTAATCACGGGGACCTAGCAGAGGGCCACCAGTGGAACAAGTGGTCCTACAGCCACACCAGGCAGACCTCCACCTGGCAAAACAAAGGAAAAAGAAAAATCCTGCAAAAGCACAACGTCCCCCAGGTGAACAGAACTGGCCGCTGTGCATATATCAGACAGCTGCATAGTACCTTGCACCCCCAGCCAGTGACATTACTACCTTCTACCCAAGGGCAAACAGGAGTAAGAACAACCTCAGCTGACCCCAAGGGCAGTTAATCACCGAGCAGCAAAAGAACCACACTAAGGTAGTCTCCCGAACGGCCGATGGAAGATAACCCTGAACCGCAAGAGCAGTACTTACAGGGAAGGTGGCCCTAGGCGCATACAGCCCCAGTACTCTTGTGTTACTCCTGGTTTGTACACCACCACACACAAGAACAACACCGCTATGGACAGCTCTGCCTAAAAGGATGGAGCCCAGAGTCGAGCGACCGCCACCAAACACTGAACTGGGGTGGCTATGGTGATGTCATACTTGTTTACTTGTTTTCTGATTGGGGAGTTCTGTTTACTCGTTTGGTTTTTGGTTAGCAATTTTTTACCAGATGTAGTTTGTTTTGGGATTCCTACCTTTCTGGGTGCCTGACCTGGTAGATTGCAGATATAGAATGGTTCCAACTACACGGGTGGTGTATATAGGTCATTGCTCCTTGTGCCTCTCTGAGGGGGGCCAGGTTCTGGCTCTCATCCCTGGTAGGCTTAGAACTCCATTGATTGACTGTTGCCACAGTCTAAGATATACACATCAGCCCGGTATAGCTCCGGGGAGCCTCCGGGCCTAACCCAGAAAATGGCGTTTCATTACATTCAACGCTGTTTTTTTTTTTATCTTGTAGAAAGATTTTTTACTCGATCACTAGTAAAAAAGAATGTGACCTTACACCACTCTTCAGTATTTACTTTGAACTGAAATATGTTCCATTGTTTTTCAGGGTTGCGAGTGGCCCTTAGAGAATTTGTGTGATACCCTTGCCACAGATTTGTTTTGTCTTGCATGGGAGACCCGTCATGGAGCTGCCACAGCACTCAGACAGATTATCAGAGTTCATGGTGAAGGTGGTGGGAAGACAACGTGCCAAACAAAAGAACAGGTGAGGCTCGAGTTACAAAATATACTTCATTGGATTGGAATATAAACTATTGTTGTTTTAGTGTGTGTTGTTGTTGTTGTTTTGTTGATTTAGGGGCGACGACGATCGTGGGATCGGATGCGCCCCGGCTGCCCAATACCGGGAAATAGCAGAGGGAAGGGGTTCCTACAGTCTCTTCAGGCCATAGACCCTACAATCTCCTCAGGCCACAAATTTTACAGTCTCTTCAGGCCACGGACATGACGGATGAAGCAGAAGGTATGGCGAAGGATGTCATGACGGACGTCTTCGTCTCTCGCACCTGCCCCGTCAAGGAGAACGGGAACTGTGAGGCGGGGAATATTCAGCCTACGAACGGCACTCTGTAGTCTGACGCGAGCGCTATGAAATCGAGGGCAGTGAAGTAGAAGGTGCTCCACTGTATCCTCCTGGGTCGGACACCACTGGCAGTATGGGGAATCTACCAGCCGTAGACGATGGAGATGTGCGGCCAGGCAAGTGTGCCCAATCCGGAGACGAGTGATGGCAGTGTCGAGGAGTCGAGAATGATGATGAGTCCATGGACGCGAGGTGGAATCAAAATTGCGTAGAAATTGCGTCTTTTAAAAAGGGAGCGGGCATTTCAAAACACCGCAGTATTCTCAGGATGGGGCGCCATTATCCCTGAAATACAACAGCTAACTTTTTGACCACCAGTGCACAGACGTCTCCAAAGGGGGAACCACTAGAAAAAGCCATAAAACCCTCATACAAAGTAAGTAAAATGTGTCGTATCAATGACTTCCAGTCCAGAGGATGTTGATCTATGCTTCTCTCTACCTGACGGAAGCGGTGGTCGGCTCGCGAACTCTCTTGACGGCGTCTGCGACTGGTGGGAGCCTCATTCTGGGCCTCATGTTCCCCTGGTGTCACAATCCCTTGGGAAAGTACCTGGGGGACCAGAGGATCATCAGGACTGTCTGTTGGAGCAGTACCTCCTGATCGATGGGTGTGTCGATGACGCCAGTGTTGGCTTCTTTGAGGAGAGGCAGGAGGGTGACGAGTGCTAGGCTCCGGCCGAGACTGAGCGTCCATGACTGTATCCGTGGATGAGTTTCCGTCAATGTCAAGGCTACCCAGGAGGGAAAATTGATTAGCAACCTGGGTGTATGAGGCATGTGACTGGGACAGGCAAGAGCGTCTGCTAGTTCCTACTTGTGAAGAGACCCAACCAGGGGGAACCTGGAGGCGAGAAGAAGCGATAGGCTGATTGAGGGTGCGCAACTTCTGGAACAGCTCATGTCGAGGTGTCCCCGCTGTTTTATGATCGATGTCCAACTGGAGGGCCTCAAGATATACAGGGCAACTCTTAGACGTAACCTTATGATGGCCATGGCATAAAAAGCAGCGAGGTGCAGCAGAGCACCCACCGTTATCTCTGTCTGAATGACCTGTTTTGCCGCAGTTTGCACAACGTGCTGCATTACGGCAGGTCAGGCGACTGTGGCCCAATAGATGACAAGCGTAACATTGTAACACAGGGAAATTCTAGGGCTGAACCTGATACGAGGTCCTGTATAGTGCCACTCGGTCAGGGAGGTGCCCATCGAACTTTACACGGACCATGGATGTCGGCCCTGCTGCTCCGCGAATCCTGGTAACTTCCAATAATCTCGCTGATGCACCCCCTAATACCTGCAGAGCGGCCTGGATGTCATCCACATCTACACTCTGGTCAATTGGGCCAATCTTCCCATACCGGGCCCGAGACTCCTCCTCCTGCGACAATACCTGTCGGCACCTGACAGGCCAGTCCCCCAGCTTAATAATGTCGGATACACTGATGTGTGATAGAGCCTCCTTTCTGATATGTAGCTTCAGTGCTGCACCCCTACCCAGGGTACGTATGGTCTCAGGCAGGCAATGTGGCCACAATACGGAAGCATCGATTGCTGCACCTAAGGTACGAGGATTTGCAAAGACGCACTGACCTGATTCTGACTGGATTATGACTACCACAAACGAGGAACGGGGTACCACAAGACTAAGGTCTTCTGAAGGGGAAGACATCCTCTTAGCATCTCGCACTGGGGCAGAATCAGCCGACTCATTTTCCAGCAGACGTTTTCCTCTCTGGGACTTGCTGTCAACATCCATGGCGCCCCCGCTCGGGGAGGCGTCCATTAGTGAGGCTCCGGCCTCCCCCGGTCCTGTGAACCCCTGGGTAGCTGCAGTGAGCACACACTGGCCCAAAGAAGCTAGCTGAATTCAAAGATGAGTTCCAGGTAAGGTGTGGAAAGAACGTCCAGCCAGGAGCGTTCAATCCGCGCGCCAAGATGGCCGACCTTCGGGCGGGGACCTACAGTACAGTTACATCCTGTACACAGGCACGACACAGCTGAGCTGACTAACCTAGTGTGTGTTTGTATTGAGCATTGAATGTTTTCAACTGAATGTGGTAAGTGTTAAATTTCTAAAATTGTCATTCTGTATAAATATATCAATTAAAGAATATTATTAACACTTTGACAGCAGGATTTATATTTCTAATAAAAAGAAATGGGGTTTCCATATCGTCCAATAAAAAATTAACAAAAAAAGCTCTATAGGGGAGAAAACTTATATTAAGATCACATAACAAAATGCTCCACCTCAACACCATAAAACAGTGAGGGGCACCGACTCTAAGCCAGTTCATCACTGCAACACCACAAATGGGAAGCTTACACCCACAAAGTAGCAGCTGCCTGAACACTCATCACTATCACTAAGGAGCAGAAGAAACAGAAGCAAGTGATGATGCACAGCAGAGTATGCGGGGCAGTACATGAATGGAAACAAACTGACAGGCTGCTGGTAGAGGCAAATAGTGCTGCTAATGGCAGGAAGTAAAGTTGTGCAACTTTCTCAAAAACCCCTTGCAGATTGTGAGTTGGTTCACAGAGGTCTGTACCCTACTGTCCATGCCCCACAAAACCTGTAGGAGAGTTCCTGTACTGGCAAGATAAAACTTGCCTGGGATACCATGTGTAGGGCTGTGTCTGAACAGATGCCTAACCTCGCTATGGAGCACACATCGAGGAGAGGTGTAAGCAGTAATGGCCTAGAGCTGACAAGTGATCCAACCACATAACCCAAACGAAATATAACCATAGCCTGACCCATGCTCTGGAGCTTATAGAGGAGCCAAAGTGCATACAGTACCTGAAGGGAGTTTCCTAAGAAAGAGAAAGCTTCCAAAAAAGTAATCCTGATGGGATTTATGTACACAACTGTCTATTTATGTATTAAGAGCAGCTTGCTCTGATTCTTGTGCACTTAATGTCTTGTGTTTTAGCTGTGCTTGGATGGTGTCAAGAGACTTCTCATCATCTGTAGATTAATACACCTTCACTCATAAGGTGTATCAATATCAAAATAGCAGGACAGTGCACTAGGAAAGTATTGTCAGCAAATCATAAGCATCTTAGCAATCTACAGGCAAATTAAGTTGGTCAGATTTGCTGACAATGCTTTCCTGGTCCTTGCAAGCCTGCCTGTTTACATGATTGGCCAGATGGATGTATCCATTGATACTAGGCCTGGGGGGAGCCCCGTCGGCTCCCCGGAGCTTTACCGGCTGATATGCTAATGTCAGACTTTGGCATCAGTCATGTGTATGGAGTTCTAGGGCCTACCGGGGACCACGGCCAGAACCTGGCCCCCTCAGAGAGGCAAGGGGAGCAATGGCCTATAGAAACCCCTGTGTGGTTGGAAGCATTCTATGTCTGCCATCGACCGGGTCAAGCATCCAGAAAGGTAAGCATTCCAAAACAAACCCCTATTCTGGTGAAAATTGCTACCTAAAGCCGAACTAGTGGATAGAACTCAACAGAAAACAAGGAAACTAGTATGACGTCATACGTCACCGCGCCGCTGTCTGCGCAGCTCCCCCCTCCCCGGGAGGGGGAAGGGGGAGCCCCAGACCTCCCACGCCGGCTATCCACCCATCAGTTCTTCGGCACTTTCAGCACTGTACTTAGAATGTGGTGTCTGTTTTCTAGGTGGTGCGTGAGCCGGGAGTGATTCTCCAGTACTCGGGCTGCATGCGCCTAGGGTTCCCTTCCCTAGGTGCCCTGTAAGTACTGCCCTTGGGGCTTGGGGCCACCTTCCACAAGTTCCTTGGGTCCTGCCCCTGCTTGGCCGTTTACTGCTTGGTTTTCGGCCGCTCTTTGTGTGCTCGGGTGTTCTGTCTCCCTTGTTCGCCTTAGAGTAAGGGGCAGTTTTTGCACTGGTGGGGCGCAGGGTACTGTGCAGCTTGTCTTTACCAATCATAGCGGCTGGCTCTGTTCCGCTTGGGTACGCTGTCCTCTTGCGGGGTTTTCTTTTTCTTTTTGTTTATCTACCTGGTGGGGGGGGGGGTCTGCCTTCGTTCTTGCCCCTTGTGTTCTGGGTATTTTCTGGTGGTACCCCCTGCTAGGTCCCCGTGAGTGTACACGTCCCGGGGGTTCAGCTCTTAGAAAGTTGTTTGGTAGCTTTGGGTGCCGGTTAGCAGTACCCTGCCTGGGATTACCTGAGCGCGAGTCCGCTTATAGTAAACGCTCGGGACCCTGGGAAACCCCTGGGGGCACGCGGGTCCGATGGATGTGATCCCAGAGTCCCCCCCTCGCTTCCAGCGAGTTTGAGGGTTGCTCTCACCCTTTGTCTCTGGGTGACTCTCTGTTTTGCCTCCGTCTGCTGCCTGTGGGGTCGGTGACACCTTCGACCCGGAGTCCTGCGAGTTTGGTTGCTCGTTGTGGCTTGGTTACCCAGTTGTGCTAACGAAGCGGGTGCGGGCAGCAGGGGCGTTGCACTTGAGCCTTGGTGGTGGCAATGTTCTCGTGGTTTCCTCCCGGGAGCCCCGGGGCTGCCCCGTTGTAGTTCGTTTTGGGACTTGGGGGTGTTGGTTGCTTCGGTTCCATCCACGCCCCCTTGCCTTTCCCCTGGATCACCCTTCCTGCCTGCATCCGGTTCCTTACCGTCTGTAGGTTCGGGGGGCGGGG